CCTGGTTTCATTCACTAGGAAACGCTCAGTCTCATCTTTCTGTTATGCCCTAAATAACGCTTCTCTACCTGCTGTCTCATCTTACAAGTACCTCGGCGTGCATCTGACCTCGAATCTGTCTTGGGTTACCCACATTAACATTACAACTGCTGAATCGTCACGTACTCTCGGGTACCTAAAGCGAAACCTAAAAGCCGCACCCGCGCATCTACGCCATCTAGCCTATAATACCTACGTACGCCCAAAACTAGAATACGCTTCACCTATCTGGAATCCTCATCAGAAGTACTTAATTAACCAGTTAGAATCTGTCCAAAACCGTGCCGCCCGATTCATATCATCATCTTATTCCCGATTTGCCAGCGTCTCCCTTCTTAAGCAAAATAACTCTATTCATCCCCTCGAGACTCGTCGACTAATCGCACTTCTTTGCTTACTTCATCGGTTGCATTATAACCCCGGTCTTTCCAGCTCATCACTTTTAGAACCACCGAATAGAGTGTCACATCGTCAAAATAACAGCAAAAGCTTTAAACGCCTTTTTGGTTCAACGTTAGCATTTAATAACTCAGCACTTCCTCAAGCCATCAAACACTGGAACGGTCTTCCCGACGACATTGTCACCATATCTGATGCAAAAATGTTTCGCAGTGCACTTACTAACTTCTTTCTCATCCCCGGCTAGTATGCAAGCTGACATTCTTCGGTGCTCCGTTGTTATTAGCATTGTATTATGTTATTTTGTCCCAAAGTGTTTACCATGACTGATTCAACTACTTTTAGTTATTGTCCTGTGCTTATTGTCGTCATTTGTCGCACATCAGTATGTTCTAATTTCAGTTATTATTTTGTTTCGATGTTTTTGCGTTGTACTGTATGCCTTTGTTGGAAAATAACCCCCCCCCCCCCCCCCCCTCATGTAATGCCCACCGGGCCTTTGAGGTATTTTGAATAAATAAATAAATAAATAAGAGTATATTGAACGGCTCAGGGGATGAATCTCTTATTAAAAAGTGAACGCTCGGTCACGCCGTCATTATTTGAAAGCAATAAATCAAGCCGCTCCAATGCGGTTCGAAGCCATGAGTTTGTTTCCCCACACGGCACGTCGTAGCCTGTATTTCTATTGTAGTGTTTGTTTTTCTAGTTGTGCTGTTCGCGCAAAGCTGCAATTGCAGTCTTGAATTAATCTCTGTAGAGCGGATATTCACTCAGCTCGAAGTGATGCTTCACGGGCTAAGAAATCGCTTTTCGATCAACTTGAATGCAGTCAAAGCCGCGACTTGCGGCAGGTGTTAAGTGTACGGAGCTACGCCGTGGCGAGCCCGAAAGCTTCTAGCGCTCATCCCAGCGCGCCACGGAGGGCCGTTTCTCCAGGAACCGTAGTATATTTAAACAGCAAAATAAAGGGTAGCTTTTTTTATTTCGATTTTACCTACAATTGTTTTTTAATGCCGAAATTCCATACTGTAAATATACGTACTTTCCGTCACGATTTCGTACTGTTCAGTCCCCGAGAGCGCAATCGCTCTCGGGGACGAGACAATTGCGACAGTCACATTGGCCACTGTACGATAGGAGCTTTTACTGTTCAGACCAGCCTCTGACTACAACATGACTATCCGCACGTTGATCGATTGCACGTAATCCCTGAAGTGGTATTAAACTTTTTAATGTAAAGCGGAATGTCAACCTGCGACACCCCGCTCCCTCCGATCACGGCCCGACCAGCGGCATCAATGCCCAACAGTTTACGATCTGATCTTATTGTTACACCACTGATACGCGAACACACGGTCACATCGGCGATAATTCCAGTCTTCTGTTCACAACCCACAACACTGCCATCACGATGTTGCTGCTATGTTGCTGACACGCACAAACACAGAACCACGTTGAACGCCGGTTGCACCCGGCGCCGGAAAACAGAACCGAACTCAGGGGGGAAGGCACCCAGGCAGCCGGCAGCAAAACCTGCCTGTCTTGGACGCAGTTCCTGCGGTTTCCATAACGTCGAAAACGTCGACACAGTTCCGCGTGGTTTCGCTACTGTAGTGACTGCAGTGCTGTAGTTCTGTGCCGCGCGAGTCCCGCAATCCGGAGACGGCCATCGCCCAGTGTACGTGGTGCTGCCGGTGCTGCTGGCACTGCTCCGGAACTTCGCTGTTTCTAGCGGCTTCGTTTGCTCGTTTGATAAAATTAGTGATAAAAACGTCAATGCAACCGAAATGTTCTGCACGTTTAGACTAGAAGACGGAATTACAGGCGGCCTTTGCTGCCGCTGAAGCTCAATCACTTCAACAGCTATCTATTAAACAACGTGCGCGACCTGCTCGAAAAACGAAACCGAAAGAAGGTGAGTCGGGAAGGCGAAAGCTTTCTCCCGTCTGCCTGGAAAAGGAGAAAAACGTTTCGTTCCTCCCTTCTTCTCGTGTCCGCTTGGGAGCGCGTCGGTAGAAGGGAGGAAGACGCGCCGTTGCTACTTTTTTCCTTCATTTTTTCTTAGAGTGTAGGATGGCAGCGAACAAAGTATGCGATGCCGAATCTGAAGCATGCTGGGTTTCTTCGTGCACACTGCCTATTCATGTGCTCGCCCTATCCGGGGGAAAGATTCGGGGTGGACGACTAAAATAAGGTAATGACGAATGCACGTGCAATGAGTAATTTCTTCTTGAGTCTCGTTTTAAACGCTTCTGCTGCAAACGTCCGCATGTGAACCTCGTAGACCTGTGCACGAAGCACCCTCCCTGGTTTTTCTACATTAAAATTGGCTCAATATAACATAACATTGTAGAGGCAAAAAGATACAGACGAAAATTTTTTGAAGACATAGAACACAACCTTTCTTTTTTTTTTTCGTTCCTGTCTTTTTGCGTGTTTCATTCCTTTTAGTCATGAACCAACTACCTAATCTAAAGTTTTAGTTAGCGATATTTTATCTTTGCTTCAATCACCTTATCCTAATTACAAAATCTATTATTGAATTTGCTGCCGTTATTCATCACGTTTAATTATATTGCCTTAGGTGTCTCCTAATTTGCAGGTTAAGGAAGGAAACCCTGTTTTAAGCATCGCAAAAATGAGCTGGATATTGCGGTCAGCACCAACCCCGCCAGTATATAACTCCAGCGGTTGCAGCAATTACCCAATTTTTCGGAACATAGCGTAGTCTGATTCATTTTAGGCAATGCTTAGAAATTTTCAGTGCTGAAATGGTGGTCAACAGAGCCCGCGAATACATGAAGATGAATAGCGTCCGTCACCGGAAACGGGCCCCATTCGTTAATTAAAAAAAAAAAATCACCTCCCCCCCCCCCTTTTAACCAGAGCACAAATCTGAAATTTGACATTTTCTTCCAACCGCTAGGGTTACATTTTAGCGGACTTTCAGCGTCCGCAACGTATAAAACTTTTTTTTTTTTTTTGCGATTAGAAATATTTGTTTTTTCCAGAAAAAGTTTGTCAGATTTCTTTGAGTCATCACATTACTACCGCTTTAGCGAAAACCCGGGGCGCGTGTAAGTATTCGGAATTCTAAAGACGTCCGCCTCAGCATTATGCAGTGCCAACGATACAAAGAGGTCAAAATGTCTATCGGGTGAAAACGTCCACTGATTCAAAATGTCCAATTGAGTGAAAATGTCCAAAGAGTCAAAATGTTCAACGAGACGAAATGTCCAATCGGGTCGAAATGTCCCGAGTCAAAATGTCCAACGAGACGAAATGTTCAATCGGGTCAAAATGTCCAAAGAGTCAAAATGTCCAACGAGACGAAATGTCCAAGCAGGTCAAAATGTTCAACGAGACGAAATGTCCACCGAGAGGAAATGTCCAATATTGGACGTTCTCACCCGTTGGACATTTCGACTCGTTGGACATTTTGACGTGGAATCCTCCCCGCGCGCCCGCCGCTGCCCAAGCGCTGCCGCGGTTCCCCCCCCCCCCCCCCCCCCCCCCTCCATCTCCCCAAAAGTTCCGCCGCTACTGATGGACCTCGAGCGATTATGCAGCCTATTTGTGAGCGAAGAAAAACAGCCTCGCATTACCCCATTCGCGCACAATTAGTAATACTGGTAAAAGCAAGCGACAAGGATTTTGAACGGAGGAAAGAATAATCTAGCCCTAACAGACAAAGAAAGGAACTTACTTTGGAATGACCATACCATGATCTTGGCTGTTGAGCAGATTTGACGTAGTTCCACGGCTCACAGTCGCTTCCTTCTTGTTTAGACACATTTGAAACTAAGATAAACTCCACGCATCACGACTAATCGGTGAATTGACCTGAATACAGAAGCATGAAAACCCACACGCCCGGCCAAACGTGCAAAAAAGGGCTGTGGATTGGATTGGATTGCATTGGTTGGCTCTAATGGATATCTAGCGACTTTACGGAAACTATCTTCAACACGCTTGCAATAAAACGACCAGCAATGCAAATTAAAAAAAAAACATTAGTATACACAGTAATAATAACTTATTTAGCTTGTAAACATTGCCACAATAATATAAATGCGTCCTGAACATGTAGCAAAAAATTAAATACGAAACTAACCGCACAATGTATCCAACCGACTTCAGCAGACCTATAATCTTTTAAAACATGAGTCGTTCAGTATGTCGGTTTGGCGGGGATCGAGCGCGCGCGCCGAACGTGCAAGACGTTCGAAACATGAGCTCCGTGGAAGCGTCTGCAACGGCCCTTGCTGGCCGCGGTTCTAATCACTCCGGTGAATCGACGAACGATGACTATAAAATTGTTTTACCACAGATGCCTACAGGAATTACGAGTGAAACATCGGTGCTTCTGCATTGCGATTTGAAAGGGCGCCCCTACCGTATCCAGGATTTTCGACAAGAGATGGCCAGGTGCGGCGTACTCGGCGACATCGCAGCACTTGGTGCGTACCAAATGAATCATGTTTGGATGGCTACCCTTCGAACGGCAGAAGCAAAGAGACGACTCGTGGACGCCAAAGAACTGCAGGTGAAGGGTCTTCGGTGCCTCGTCGTGGATCCCAGCATCACGGAGGTACGGCTTCGTCTCCACTGGATCCCGTATGATGTGCCGGACGACGTTGTGCGTAAGGAATTGGAGCCGTATGGCAAGGTCCTGGAAGTGAGCCGGGAGAAGTGGAATGTTGAAGGCTTCCAAGGGATCGAATCAACGACAAGGTGTGCGCGGATGACACTGAACGAAGGCGGCACGGCCGATACCATGCCACACCAGCTTCGGATCCAAGGTGGTAACGTACTTGTTGTGATCCCTGGTCGGGCGCCCTTGTGCTTACGCTGTAAGCGCACAGGTCATATTCGACGAGAATGCAGGGCGCCGAAGTGCTCGGAGTGTTTTCGCTTCGGGCATTATGGCACCGAATGTGTCAGGTCGTACGCCAGGGTGGCCAGCGGGGCCGGGACGGCAACGGCCGAGACCAATGACCACGCCATGGATGCCGAGGAAGCGGAGCGTACTATCCAGGGCTTGGCGCCAGAAGTTTCAACCCCTGCCAAAGAACGCAAGAGTGAAGGAAGCAGCTCCTTGGGGGCAGCGAGAGAGAACGGAGGTCAACCGGAAGGCGCACCTCCCAGCGGTGCCGACGTGAAACCCTCTGATGCCGGAGCAGACAAGGAATCGAACGACGCAAGCACCAACGGACCTTCAGATATGGACAACACCAGCGAGTCAACTAAGCGAGCCTTCGATGACGATACGGCAGCAGGAAACGGAGAACGCCAACTACACCCCTGGATGGAACGCACGAAGAAGGGGCGTTACCAGCCCGCGCCCAACGATCCTAAAGAGGAACGTCGGCGCAGGGAAAGCAAGTAAGGCGTTCTTTGCGTGGTTTCCTGGTGTTTAAGATTGCTGCATCAAGACAACTTGGACCCTGACTGCTTAGGTTTTTAGTGTCTGCACCGAAGCACAGCGCATGATTTGTGAGTCCCAATCAGCCATTACAGTTGCAACGCTGAATGTTCGTGGTTTATGCACTAGAAAAAAGCAGTACCAAATACAGCGATTATTGTCGAAAGAGCAACCCGATTTCTTGGCGTTGCAAGAAACTAAATTGGCTGAGGCGGAACAGGTAGAGGAAGCAGTCAGACCTTTCATGCCTAACTACGAAATCTGTGTGACGCATGCAGTTGGTCATTCGGCAGGCTGTTTCCTGCTGCTGAAAAAGTCGGTACCGTTGTCGCAGTTATGCGTTACAACGGACACTGAAGGACGTTTCATTATGTGTGATTTTGTGCTAACGTCAAATCAATTCAGGCTTATTTGCATTTACGCCCCAAATGTGACCACTGACCGCGTTTTATTTTTTGGCGGTTTACGTCGGTATCTTGATTGCGATAGAGCTCTAGTCCTTGTGGGTGACTTTAATTGTGTTGTACGACAGTTGGATAGATCGCCAATAAGACGGAACGCTGATAAGAGTGAACTACTTTTGGGCGAAATGTTGGAGGATTATGACCTGATTGATGTGGGCACTGTAAAAAACGCGAAGAAGGAAATGCGCTTTACCCATTTTCAAGCGTCGTCCAGTGCGCGTTTGGACAGGGTGCATGTTTCTGCCCCTCTAGCAGAACATTTAGGAAAGTACCGTGTCACTCCAGTCTTTTTCTCAGACCACAGTCTGGTTATCGCGACGATAGGTGACAGAGCACCTGAAAAGAAAAAGTTTAATTGGAACTTATGGAAACTAAACATAAAGCTTCTGAAAGACAACGTCTTTCTAAAAAATGTAGAACAGTTTTTGAAAGATGCTTTTAAAGAGCCGGGAGTGGACATTTTCGAGAAATGGGAACTGGCAAAACAAGAAATTAAGGCAATCGCCATTGAGAGGTCATCAATTCTTTCGTACAACGGCCGGTGTGAGGAACGCAGTTTAAACAAGGACTTGATAGAGCTATGTAAAGCAGAGTGCGAAAGACCCGGTAATGGGGTAAAAGACGTCGGGTATGTCAGAGAAAAATTAGATCAGCTCCACCGCGAGCGCTATCGTGGTGCAGTAGTGCGCGCCCGTGCAGAAAAATACACAATGGGCGAGCAGCCCACTAAGCGTGCCTTGGCAGACGAGAAGCGTTACGCACTTCGGAACGAAATAGCCGAAATTGAATTCAAGCAAATGATTACTACGGATCCCGAGAAAATAGCACAGGCCTTCCTCGAGCATTACGCACAGCTTTTTGCTAACAAAACGCAAGGGTGTCATACGGACATTTATGCCCAGCTTTTAGAAAAACTGCCAAGGCTATCGAATGATGAACGCGAAAAGCTTGAGCAAGAAATTACGATCCAAGAAGTGGAGCGCGCAATCGACGACCTGCCGAACTCTAAGACGCCGGGACCGGATGGATTGGGCGCAGAATTTTACAAGAACTTTAAGAGCCTAATAGCTAGTGTTTTTTTGAACGTCATACATACTGCCTATGAAAGAGAATGTTTGCCCTTTTCGTTTTCTCGTGCCTACACTGTCCTGATACCGAAATCTGATGACCCCGTGAAACTGCGCAGCGTCACCGGTTATCGCCCAATAACGCTATGCAATACCGATTACAAGATCTTCGCGAAAATTCTGGCGCGTCGTCTTCAAGGTGTCGCATGTGAGATAATAAGCGAGCATCAAACGTGTGGGATACAGGGGAGGACTATCTTGACAAATGTGCATGTGGCTCGTAGCGTCCTGGAGGCCTGCAGTGACAGCACCACGCAGGTTGCAGTGCTACAGATAGATCTAGATAAGGCATTCGACCGTGTTAGCCATGATGTACTCTTTGATGTTTTGAGTCATGTCAATGTTGGTGACGCCATCCTAAAAGGTGTAAAGATGGCCTATAAGGACTGTACAACAAGGCTTATAGTGAACAAAGAGCTCAGTTCTGTTATTAACGTACGATAATCGGTACGACAAGGATGCCCTATGTCTCCCCTTTTGTTTGATTTGTATTTAGAGCTTTTCTGTTTAAGCGTAAAAAATAGTCAACGCGTCCGAGGTTTCCAATTTTATAATGCAGAAGTAAAAATAATGAGTTACGCCGATGACATTGCTGTTTTTTGTAGGGACAAAGAAAGCGTTACCGAAGTCATAACTTTGGCTGAAAGGTTTTGCCACGCTACTGGTGCTGTTATAAACTGGGAAAAGTGCCGTGGTTTCTGGCATGGTGCTTGGGCCACTACACCCTCAGAATTTGAGGGTGTATGCTGGGACACAGTGCCGTGCAAGTACCTCGGGGTGCCATTGCAAAGTTTCCGGAATAGCCAAACGTACTGGTCGGGTGTCGCTATCGACCTGGACAGGCGTGCTTCTCGTTGGAAGCAACGCGAGCTGTCCATTTTTGCCCGAGCGACTGTTTGTAACGTTTTTCTGATTGCGAAGCTCTGGTATGTTCTTCAGGTCATCCATTGTGCGCGAACCAATGTTCAAAAATTTCATCGAATTTTCGCCACGTTTATTTGGAACTCGAAGTATGAGCCGATGAGACGAGACAATCTTTTTCATCGAGTTTGTAACGGTGGCGTGGGGCTTTCCCACCTTTTTGTCAAGCAACTTGTGTCGCGCTTCTTTTTTTTTTGAGAGACCAAGAGCACCCGTTCATTCGCACACTGATTCAAACAAAAGTGTCACCACATTTGCCATCTTTTCTTGTTTCTTCTCATGGCGGCGAGCCAACAAGAATCACTAGTTTTTTTAAAGAAGTTGTTGACACGATGGGGTTTCTGACAGCACGTTTTTCTTTGAATTACCTTTGTGATGTCAGTAAAAAAGCGCTCTATCGCGATTTAGTTGTGAGTGTTTTCCCTATGCCCTTGTATCGAGGTGTGTCCCAACATGGCCACGATGTGCTTAGACGTGTAAAAAGGATGTGTGTTCCCGCGGCTGTTAAGACTTTCTTTTATAAATTACACACGAATACCTTGCCAGTTAAGGTTTGGCTTAAAGAAAGAGGGATCTATGTGCCATGGTCGGTAAATTGCCTTCTATGTAAAAAACCTGAGACTATTGAACATGTGTTTATTTTTTGTTGGGACGCGGTATTTTTCTGGGATGTCCTCCAACGCACTCTAAAGAAAGAATTACCTGTTACCCCAACAGGGATACGTTTCCTTAGAGTGGATAATGATAATGAAGTCCCTTATGACATGATTATGTTGTTAGCTTTGTGCAGCATTTGGAGATCACGTATGGCTGTTCGACATGCTGACCTCGACGCAAAAGAAGTGCGGATATATTTCTTCAACCTTGTAAAACAAGTACAGAGTGTGTATTTGAACTGTGAACCTGAGCCGGAGTGGACTAGTATTTTAAAATCACTCCTCGAAATGCGTGATTTTTAATACGCTGTGCAAAAAAGCTGTGCAGTGCTGTTAGAATGACATGAATGTTGCTGTAACTACCATGCAATAAAGAAAAAAAAAATGTCGGTTTGGCTTTGGTTGTTAACGCGTCCTGCTGGTAACGTAGTGGTCGGTGGTTCGAATCCCACTAGAGAGAAAGTTTTCTAATTTTTTTTTATCGCGTTTTTTTTTTTGTTTTTATTATTTTAAATATTTGCTGTGTTTTTTGCAGTCGCCGGCCCCCTACTTTAGGGTAAAAGTCACGCAGAATGTGAAAATAGAAAGTGCGAGCCCAAATTTGAGTTGATGCAATGCACAAACCGTGGCCCTCCTGTTTGCCGGGATAAATCGCTCCCTCCGTGCTAATAGGTTGGTTGGTGTAGTACGCAAACAGCGCAAGTGCTTTCAACGAAGTAAAGAAGCTAATAATAATGGGAATATTGAGAGAAAAATGGGAAAATGTGTATGTAAATGGTCAAACTGCCACAGTGATGCAGCCGAAGTTTGTCTGAAGGCGGTCACCTTTAGCCACTATTAAAACAAAAATACCGCTATTTTAAGGCAGTTATTTACCTGAGCTCATAGCGCGCTACGTATTGAGCACATCTCTTAATTTTCTGGCTTCCGGAGAGTAGTACTTAATTTTGTTCTGGCACATCAGTGATATCCATCGCCTGCCCCCTGGTTTTACTTATTGAGGTTGTGCTCCGCAATTTTACTTTTTTATTAGGCCTATAATGTTTTTATTCCTGAGATCGAAGAACAGTGCGGATAAATAAACTAGCTTTCAGAAACGGTATCGTTCGGTGTGATAACATTTACGTTTTGTAGCGCCAAGGGGTCACATTCACAAACCCGGCAGTGTAAACACCCACAACGCCTTTGTGTTTCCCGTTTTATCGTGTTAAAAAAAAATGTTTTTATATTTACTTTTTTTTTGGTGCGGTATGTCGTATAACATAAGCTATCGGGGACAGATCATCTGGCTATGTGAACATTTGAAATATTTCTGTTAGATGGTCGTAGCTACCACAGAAAACAGTCGATTCTTGCCTGAAATAGCATATTTTCACACTCAATTAAAATCACCAATAACATGATCTCAGGAAAGTTGTGTACATCTCGCAGCGTCATAAGCAAAACACACATCTCTTTCTTGTCCAGATTCTGCAATGTAATGCAAATTATTGTTTTTGTAACTCAAAGCGCGTGCTCAATCATGCCACGTGTTTGTTAATTGTGGTTGTTGTTCTTCACTCGGATTTTCCGCTATACCGTTTTTATTTTATTTTTCTTATCAGTGCCAAACACGTGCGTATACCACCGACCTTAAGTATAGTGCATCAAATTAAACTAGCTTCCTGAAAAGGTGTCGTTCGGTGTTGTGTAATTTATTCTTCATAGCGTAGGTGGTCAGAGTCTCGAATCCTGAACTGCAAATGTTCCACGCCGCATTATTTTTTCTCGCGTTTTCGCGATAAAACACGTCAGCCCTGC